TACATATCAAAAGAAACCTTGTCCTTCAACGACGAAGATGCAGAAGGAATCATGCAGCCCCATAACGATGCACTGGTAATATATGTACTCATGAATAAAATTCAAGTTAAGCGTGTGTTAATTGATCCAGGTAGTTCGGCCAACATTATTTGATCGAGGGTCGTAGAGCAACTCGGTATACAAGACCAGGTTGTGCCCGCGACCCTAGTGCTAAACGGATTCAACATGGCATGTGAAACTACTAAGGGCAAGATAACTATGCCAGTAAACGTGGTCAGGACCATCCAAGAGACGAAGTTCCATGTGATCGAGGGCGACATGAGGTATAACACTCTGTTTGGGAGACCATGGATCCACAATATGAGAACAGTGCCTTCGACCTTTCACCAGGTTCTAAAATTCCCAACACCAGAGGGAATTAAAATAATCTACGGGAAGCAACCCGCCGCAAAGAAAATGTTTGCCGTTGACGAAGTGATTCCGATATCGTCACTTTCATCAATAAAGGGGTCAAATTCGAAGGGAAAACAAGAGGCCAAATAGGAATCACAAACGCCGGTCTCGACCCAACTTGAGAAGCAGGGGACTGACAAAGATGATGATTATGTGGTCCCTCGATCCTTCATAGTCCCCGATGATTCCAACGCTACCAAATCAATGGTCGAAGAGCTAGAGCAAATCATACTAATCGAACATTTGCCCGAACAAAAGGTATACCTGGGCACGGGGTTAAATCATGAGCTCAGAAAAAAGCTTATTCAATTTCTTATAGCTAACATGGATTATTTCACTTGGTCCCATCTTGACATGACATGGATCCCACCAAAAATCACCACCCATAAACTAAGCTTGGATCCCACGTTCCACCCGGTGAAGCAAAAAAGAAGACACCATTCTGAGGTCAAACATGCTTTCGTCAAAGACGAGGTAACCAAGCTTCTTAAAATAGGGTCCATCCGTGAAGTAAAATACTCCGAATAGTTAGCAAATGTAGTAGTAGTCCAAAAAAAGGAAGCAAACTTAGAATGTGTGTAGATTACAAGAATTTAAATCAAGCATGCCCCAAGGATTCTTTTCCTTTGCCTAATATCGATCGCATGATCGATGCCACGGCAGGTCATGAGATCCTCAGTTTTCTCGATGCCCATTCCGGGTACAACCAAATACAAATAAACCCAGATGATCAGGAAAAGACCTCGTTCATCACTAAATATGGTACCTACTGCTACAATGTAATGCCATTTGGATTAAAAATGCTGGTGCCACTTATCAACGCCTAGTAAATCAGATGTTCGAAGAACAAAAAGGGAAATCTATGAAAGTTTACATTGATGACATGCTAGTTAAGTCCATGCGAGCAGAGGACCATTTGAAGCACTTGCAGGAAACTCTCAGTATATTGAGGAAATACAACAAGAAGCTGAACCCAGAAAAATGCGCATTCGGGGTCGGGTCAAGCAAAGTTCTCGAATTCATGTTATCCAACGGAGGGATCGAGATTAATCCCGACAAGATCGAAGCTATCGATGGCATCACGGTGGTAGACAGCATAAAGGTCGTGCTGAGGTTAACCGGGCGCATGGCCGCCCTGGGACGATTCATCTCGAGGTCCTCCGATAAGGGCCACCTAATTTTCTCATTGCTAAAGAAGAAAAATAATTCTGCATGGACCCTGGAATGCCAGCAGGCCTTGGAAGAACTTAAACGATACTTATCGAACCCGCCACTGCTTCACACGCCCAAGGGCGGACGAACGACTTTACTTGTATTTGGCAGTATCGGAGGTAGCAGTAAGTGGAGTCCTAGTCTGAGAAGAACGAGGTACGCAATTCCCTATTTATTATGTTAGCCGGACCTTAGGTGAGGCCGAAACTAGATATCCCCACCTAGAAAAGTTAGCGCTCGCTTTGATAAGCGCCTCTAGGAAACTAAAATCATACTTTCAATGTCACCCCATATGTGTTGTAACAACTTATCCACTTCGAAGTATTTTGCATAAACCCGAGCTTTCGGGACGGTTGGCCAAATGGGCCGTAGAAATCACCGAGTAGGATATTAAATATCGACCCCGAACAACAATTAAGTCTCAAATTTTGGCAGACTTCGTAACTGATTTCACGCCGGCCCTAGTACCCGAAATTGAGAGAGAGTTGTTGATAAATTCGGGTACGACCTCAGGAGTCTGGACCCTCTTCACGGACGGTGCTTCGAACGCAAAAGGGTCCGGACTCGGCATCGTACTAAAACCACCCACATGAAACATAGTTAGACAATCTATTAGAACTGTGAAATTGACTAACAATGAGGCCGAATATGAGGCCATGATTGCAGGTCTCGAACTAGCCAAAGGCTTAGGAGCAGAGGTGATCGAAGCCAAATACGACTCCCTCCTCATGGTGATTCAGGTTAACGGAACCTTCGAAGTTAGGGAAGAGCGAATGCAAAGATACTTAGATAAGTTACAAGTAACTTTAAATTGATTTAAGGAGTGGACTTTGCAACATGTGCTTCGAGATCAAAATAGCAAGGCAGATGCCCTTGCAAACTTAGGGTCATCGGTCGAGGACAACGAGCTCAATTCGGGGGCCGTCGTGCAACTCATGAGGTCAGTAGTTGAAGAAGGCCACACCGAGATAAATTCCACAAGCTTGACTTAGGATTGGAGAAATAAATACATAGAGTATTTAAAAACCGGAAAGCTTCCCTCAGATCCGAAAGAATCGAGGGCCCTGCGCACGAAGGCAGCACGATTCACCTTGTTTGAAGATGGAACTTTGTTTAGAAGAATGTTCGACGGTCCATTAGCGATATGTCTAGGACCAGGAGACAACGAGTATGTTCTGAGGGAAGTTCACGAGGGCACTTGCGGAAATCATTGCGGTGCCGAATCACTGATTTAAAAGGTAATCAAAGTCGGCTATTACTGGATCGATATGGGAAAAGATGCGAAAGAGTTTGTTCGAAAATATGACAAATGCCAAAGGCATGCACCAATGATACACCAACCCGGGGAACCGCTCCATTCGGTCTTGTCACCATGGCCATTGATGAAGTGGGGAATGGACATCATTGGCCCTCTCCCACGTGCACCAGGTAAAGCTCAATTCATTTTATTTATGACTGACTATTTTTCTAAATGGGTTGAAGCACAAGCCTTCAAGAAATTTAGGGAGAAGGAAGTCATCGACTTCATTTGGGATCACATCATATGTTGATTCGGGATGCCATCCGAAATTGTGTGTGATAACGGGAAACAGTTCGGCGGAAGCAAAGTGACCAAATTCCTCGAAGATCATAAGATTAAAAGAATCCTATCAACACCTTATCATCCTAGCAGGAACAGACAAGCCGAATCGACCAACAAAACCATCATCCAAAATCTTAAGAAGAGGCTAACCAACGCCAAAGGAAAGTGGAAGGTAATTCTGCCCGAAGTTCTTTGGGCATACTGCACAACTTCGAAGTCCAGTATCAAGGCTACCCCATTCTTATTAGTTCCATTCTTATTAGTTTATGGAGCCAAAGCTATAATACCTATCGAAGTCGGAGAACCGAGTATCTGGTTCCGATATGTGACAAAGGAATAAAATAACGAGGCCATGAATACAAGCCTAGAATTATTGGACGAAAGGCGTAAAGCCACCCTCGTTCGATTGGCCGCCCAAAAGCAACAGATCGAGAGATTGTACAATCGAAGAGCTAATCTTCGATATTTTAGCATCGGGGACTTAGTGTTAAGGAAAGTCACCCTCAACACCCGAAACCCAATGAAGGAAAATTGAGTCAGAATTAGGAGGGACCGTACCAAATCCTCGAAATCACCGGAAAAGAGTCATACAAGCTCGAAACGATGAATGGGGAATAACTGCCAAGTAATTGGAACATATCTCACATAAAACGGTACCATTATTAAGGTACGCCCCTTTTCCATTCCTTTTCTATTGCAGATTAACACTTGCAGGTGGTCTACACGAAACGACGATGGATTTTTTTAGTGAACAGGATGAAGTCTTTTAGGTTTGAAAGCACGTGTTGCACTATTTTTCCCTCAGACGAATTTTGTCCCAAATGGTTTTTTTCGTCTAGGTTTTTAATGAGGCAACAATGAAAACGTGCTAACTTAGAATCGAACCCGATTACGAATCAGCACTGAAGATCAATATAACAATATTCGAGATTCCTTTGCAATCAACCTTGAATATTGGGGGGCTACCCTCGAATATGCACTATCTTCAAAACATTAACTCTAGCAAGAAAACTACTCTATAAAGGGAGGGTCTCGATAGATAGGATTTATTGTAAGGGCCAAACGGTCAAAACGAGTCGTGCCCACGTAGATCGTTCGAACCCTGACATAAAACATGTACGCATGTATGATTGTCTCGATCGAGAATAAAGAGAAGCACTTTCTTGCGATCATATTATGTGTGAAATTTTTTCTCTTTACATCTCAAAGAGTTTTGTACTTCCAAAAATAACAAGTCCAAGGGCAAATACATAAGTACCATACAAAAGATCATCCCTTCACTCGAGGACTGCCCGACTCAAACGGCCCAAGTCATCAGGCCTCGGGAGCAAAAGACCTAATAGGCAATTCCCCGATTTCTAAAGGTCACGACCACTCTACTCGGGGACTATTATCTCGGGTAAGCCCGGATAAAATGGGAAATAAGCCCAATGGGTAACTTCCGAACTAAAAGGCTACGGCTAAATCTAACATGCTTCGGAGACGTCCGAAATCCAAATCCGTAACAAAAATAAGCCTTCGAAAAATATTCTTCCACAACCGGTTCTAAAGGCTACCCTCGGCAAAGTCTCAAACATAAGATATTTTCCGGAAAAAACTTTGGTAACATCGAACCCCAATAATGCCTTAACCCAGAAAGGAAATAAAGGCAAGGTTTGTTCTAACCCTCGAACACCACCCTATTATTTCATGCTAAGGCATTTCAACCTTTATAAATACAAATAAAGCAAAGGAAAAATATGAGAGCCGAACGAGAAAGAAAAGCCTTATATTTATACACAATAGTTTTTTACAAAGAACAAATCGGCCTAATACAAAAATTTACGACGACCAAAAACAGCCTCGGAAAAAATGCAAAAGAAAAAACAAAAAGTCCTAAGAGGCTTGGTCTCCATCGGAGGTCACATCTCCATCCTCGGAATCTTCTCCGTCCTGGATTCACTTGAATTCTCAGAGTCTTCCTTAGGGGAGGCTAGCTTTCGGGCTCTGGCTTCCTATACTCTAGCATTTTCAATCTCAGCCTTGATATCGAAACCCTGGGCCTGAACCCCCTCGAGGGCTTCCCTTCGAGCCTGCCATTTCGCATGTTTCACCATGCCCTTGGCCTTGTCCTGGTTAACTTCGACATCAACCCTAAACTGGGCAACTTTAGCATCAGCTTTTTCATTGGCTATGGCCACCTCAGATCTAGCTACGACCACCTCGGATCTGGCCACTTCGAGTTCATTGGCCAAACTTGCCTTATCAGAAACGACCAAATCTAATCGGTACTGAAGTTCCTTGATCTTCTCGACTTGCACCGAGGCCTTCTCTTTTGCAGCTTGGAGCTGGGCCTCGACCGACTCCAATTGAGCTTGGACGGTCTCCTTTTTGGAGGCTAGGATGTCCGTGTTCTTTTCGAATTCTTCCGCCTCAGCCTGTATTGCATCCACCTGCGTTTGGAGCCGTCCGATTTGTTCGAGCCTCTGTCGGACCTGCAGAATCGGGTCGTTAGTAGTTATCTCCAATTCGTCTTCATTATCGTGAAGCACTCGAAATACCTGCTCAGCCATCTCGGCATGCTCATCCCGAACCGTTACCAAATTTGCCTGAAGCTTCTCACTAAGAAGCTTGTAGGTGTCATTCTTCTCAACGAGGTCCCGAACCTCAGCCTCATGCACCTCCCGAATTCGGACATCCTCCGGGATAGAAAGCATTATCTTCCGCCTACGGTCGGGGTTAACACTCGGGGCCGAGAATCGATCCACCAGTTTTGGGCTCGACGAAGACCCGATAGTGCCCGATGATGGCACTTTCTTCGATACCGATAATCCACCAAACCTGGTAATATCCTCTGAGGCAGCGAACTCAAGCCTATCCAAAAAGGCATGGATATCAGTTGCCCCCTGAATACCCTCGTAAGATCGACTTTCCAACATGTTGGCCTCACAGATCATAGCGTCCGAAATCTGAGGGGATCCAAAAATATTGACCACCCCGAGCTCGTCCCTCTAAACATCTTCCCCTGCCCGAGAAGCCTCACCCCCGGTCTCTCCTTTGACCATCTCGGCTTGGGACGGAGTGGCCTCAACTCTTCCTAGTTCAGGAACTTCGACCAAAGCTCCCTCACCAACCTCCGCCAGTTTGGAAGACTTTTGTATCAAAACATTAGCCCGCACACGGGCCACAAGTGAAGAACTATTTTCCTCTTCTTCTTCGGACTCATCCCTTAATCAGCGAATTGAGTCCGAAGTCATAGCATCGGTGTCCCCCTTTGGCTTGCGAGACCTCCTCGCCGGTTTTTTCTGTTCCGAGCCCGAGGAACTCGGAGCCCGTTCTCTTTTTATCCTTGGCCTGCTTCGGAGCATGTGGTTGGGGAAGAACTTCTTTGTCGCCAGATGGGGGCCTCATTGCAACATCCTTACCGAGACCTACAAAAGAAAAAAGTTGAGTAAGTTCGAGAAAGAAACCCAAACGGTAAATCGATCTAGGGGAGAAACTTACCGTGATTGCGAGCCTCCCATCGACCCTTTGATAGCTCCATCCAAGCACGCTCGGAGTATGGTTTCTGCGATACCAGGCCCTCAACCCATTGCTTGAGTTCCGGCATCTGGGCCACAACTGCAACATCGAAAACATAAATATAGAAAGAAGACAAGAAGTAAAACATCAAATAGAAACATCCAAGGCGGAGTAATACTTACGATGCATGTTCCATTTCTCAGGAAATGACATGTCTTCAGTAGGGATCGGGTCCGAAGTCCTTATTCGAACAAATCGGCCCATCCAACCTCGGTCACGAGCTTCATCTATGCTCGAGAATGGGGCTTTGTTGTCTTGGCGAGCAAGCTTGATCAGCCCCCCTTGATAGAGTCGGGGACTGTAAAGACGCATAAGGTGATCGAAGGTGAAAAGACACCCCTTGATTTTGCTTATGAGGAATCAGAGGAGAATCACTATCCTCCAAAAGGAAGGATGCATCTGGCCGAGGGTCACGTCGTATCTCTTGCAGAAGGCGACGATGACAGGATCTAAGGGACCTAACGTGAAGTAGGGCTGTGCATGGATCGGATCAGATTTAGCATATTTCGGATTCAGATTTCGGATTCTACAAAATGCAATCCGATCCGAATTAATATCGAATCAGATTTTTGAATTTCGGATCGGATTATTATGCCTCAAAGTTGCAAACTCATATGTATATTTTCTTTGTAAAAGAGGCAATACAATAAGAAAAATTCGTGTTTATGCAATTATGAGAGTACTATGGTGCCAATATAGCTAAATCCACCAATTGTAAAGGTAATAACTTGGAGGAAGATATAAAGGAAGTAGTGACTATCCGAAATTAAAGTTTAATATTTATACATGCCCTAATAATTTCGGATTTCGGATCGGATCGGATTACAAGTATACCAATCTGAATCCGATTCGAATATCCGAAATTTTAATAAACACAATCCGAAATCCGATTCAAATATCCGAAATCCGAAATTTGAAATTGAGCGGATCGGTTCGGATATCCGATCCAAATGAACAGCCCTAACGTGAAGGGGTAAGTGTAAACACTTAGGAACCCCTCCACGTGGGTAGTAATCGCTTCCTCGGGCGATGGAACTACGACATGTTTTTTGTCCCAATTGCATTTCTCTTTAACTTTTTTGTGGATTTTCTCGGTGATTGAGCATCTATACCTCGAGACTGTCCTACATAATGCTTCTAGCTTTAAATAAATATTTGATTGACATAGATAAATGCATCTAAGATTTGTATCACAATATTTACGTGATATCATGACAAGCCTCAGCATATGCATTTTTATTTCTCCAATAAGTAAACCTCAACATATACACAGCAATAAAATTTGAGCTAGTTGCCCCGAAAAATATTTGTTCTAAACTTAATTTCCTTCATAACTTTTTTGTAAACGAATGCATAGAGGTCTGATTAACAATGCATAGCAAAAATTACAGGTCTGATTAACAATGCTTGAAAAATGTAAGCGAATTAAAAATGAAAGAATGCATAGAGGAGGAAGATTCCAAGGTAACAACTAACAACAGAGAAATACAACAACAAAAGGAGCTCCAATAACAGTAACAACAGTAAGGAATCTTCTGAATCTTCAAAGGATAAGTCCAAAATTACTGAAGATAAAAAGCCTGACTATATTCATATCAGAGCACGTCGAGGTCAAGCCACTGATAGTCACAGCTTAGCTGAACGAGTGAGTTATAGATTTGGTCCAAGTGTTTTTTTACTACATATTACTACTGTAATAGTGCTAACCTCTAAAACTGATGAAAACACACGAATTACTGATAAAGATTCAATCTATTATGGCCATATTCACTATTTAACTAGCAAAAATACAAAGCACTGTACAAAGCATATTTTGAGGCTATTATTTATGCACCGAGAGTAGATACAAAGCATAAGATCTATTTCACAGTTCGTATTTTACAAAAATAATTGAATAAAAAAGATATTAGGGTTCCGGACGGAAGAGGTACGCATAGAAGAAAATACAGGGAGAGAAGAAAGGTGCTTACCACTCGATTTCTCAACCGAGTTCGCCGGAGAAGGAGATTAAGAAGAGCAGCAGCCGAGCGCGGCCTCAACTCGCCAAAGAAGACGACCGAATTGGAGTTGGAGGTCTTTTCCAGTAAATAAACATAAACAAATAATGGGAATTTTTGAAGGAAAACGAATTACTGCAGAGAGGTGATTGTTTCGAGGTTTTTTTGACTGATTTTCGCTGATTTTTGATCTGATTTCAAGGTGATTTGGGGACTGGAGGAGCTATTTTGCTGGAAGAAGTGGTGAAGATGACTGGAGGAGATAAACGATCTCCTTGTAATTTCCGCCGATAGTTACCCTAATTTTTAGGGGTTTACGTATTTCATAGTATTTTATTAGGTTTAAAAACTAAAAAATAAAAATTAAAAATCATATGATGGCCATTTTAGCGAGTATATAAAATTTGGGTGAAAAATAATGAGGGAATTAATGACCGTAACAATAGATATAACTGTTACCATAGATTGATTTATTGCTACGGTTATACAAAACGTTGCCATATATACCTCTATCGGAACGGTTTTAAGACTATTGCAACGGTTCAGTTGCTAAGTGTCCCGGTAGTTCCAATAATTATTTGTAACAGTTAAAATCGTAACAATAGACTATATATAGCAACGGTTACGGATCTATAGCAATAAAAAGCGTTGCCATAACTCCAATTTCTAGTAGTGGTAGCTCTTTTGGCGTCTGTAGACCCCGACTCTCCTTCTTTTTCATTATTTAGCATTGTTCTATCTTTCCAGACAATTGTATCCGAAGTCTTGGCTGTATTGTCATTTAGATGTTCATATACTCAGTGACACCCGAATTTTGGGGGATTTTATATTTGAGTCGCAATATTTCTTATCGACTATTTATGAGAGTTGTTACTGTTAAACCGACTTCATCTTGTTTTCAATTTAAAAATACGTAGTTATTTGTGGTTGTCGGCTCGCCTGGTACTGTGATAGGTGCCATCACAGCATGTTAAGTTTTGGATCGTGACAAGTTAGTATCAGAGCCTAGGTTACATAGGTCTCACGAGTCATTGAGCAGGTTTAATAGAGTCTTGCCGACCGGTACGGAGACGTCTGTACTTATCTTCGAGAGGCTACCGAACCATTAGGAAAACTTCACTTTCTTGTACTCTTGTCGTGCGAATTTGTTGATTCCGGAAACTAAACTTCTATTATTCTATTCTCTCATAGAGGGTGGGGACACGTGCTACCGGATCGGGCGGACAGACACTAATACACCAGCTAGGGCCACGAGAGGCCGGGGCTGCGGTAGAGGCCGAGGTGCAACTTATGTAGCAGCCAGAACAGCACCCATGAAGCCAATAGTTGCTCCGGCTCAGGAGCAGATCCCAGGTGTGGTTGAGCCGGTGGGACTAGCTCAGGCACCAGCTGTGCCCATTGTGATTCTAGGCCTTCAGGAGGTTTGGCACAGATACTGACTGTATGCACTAGCCTTGCTCAGGTGGTTTCAGTTCCGGTCGCGACTGCCACTTCTCAGGCCAGGAGAGGTACTCATACTCCCGTCGCCTGTACTCCAAATCAGGTAGTTCAGGGGCTTCAGACTCCGGGGTACTACTAGCCCAGCTGGTTATAGTTGCTCATGCCCAGGTGGGTCCACCGATGAGTGACGAGGAGCAGAAGAGGCTAGAGCGGTTTGGGAGGCTCAGGCCTCCATGATTCAGTGGGACTGAGTCAGAGGATGCTCAGGATTTCATAGACCGATGCCAACAGATTCTTCACACGGTGGATTTTTTGGAGACTAGTGGAGTCTCATTTACTATAGGAACAACCCTCAAGGGGAAGCAATCCTCTTGAAAGTTCACCTTAACAAGTAATCAACCAACATAGGAATTCATCTTTAACACTCTCAATGAGTTTTCATTCACAATATCAAAATAAGCTCACCCTAAAATGAGAGCCTTAAGGGCTATTAATACTAGGGAGCTAAATATTACAAATATAGCCACCAAATGTAATATAGTCTATAATTGTTGGTGAAATTATACATGTAGCCGCCCCATTATGAAAGTAGCCTCCAATGCTCGATGGCTATCTAGATTGTATCATCCTCCCTCCCTTAAAAGAAATCTGTCCTCGAATTTGGACCTTTAAGCAAAAGAAAGGGAGCTTCACTAGTAAAATTTTAACTTGGACATAATCAAGTGCCTCAAACTAATAAGTAAACCATATTTTAACAAATTTATGGTAAATCCAAGCATCCAAACCAATAAGTAAGGCAAATCTACCAATCAAACCAAAATCTAATGATACCCATGGACAAAACAAAGCATAAAAGCTATCTAAAATATGAGAATTGTCATGAAATACCTCCAATATATACACCAAGTGGGCCCCAATATAAGAATCATTAAGAAAAGTATTAACTCTCATAGCTTTATCAAGTCCAAGCATAAGTATAAGCCAAATAAACAAGACATTCTTGAATTCAAGAGGACATGGAAAATCAAGAATAAGAATGGTATGTTCAAATAAAATAAATCTCTTGGCTTCACCAATATTATCATTCAAGAAAGATTTTGCATGCTTTTTCGTAAACTCATCACACCAATCTACATGAAAGTTATCAACTTCTTTTAAACTCAAAGCACTAGTGTAGTAGAACAAATTAGCTCTATCAAATATATGAGTGAAAAAGGTTAGAAAGTTTACATCAAGTAAAGAACTTTCTTCTTTTTCAAAAAGTTTAGCTTCCAAAACAATCTCATTAGTAATCTCAAACGACTTCTCAAAAATAGAACCTTTGATTAGTAAATTCAAATCAAACTCAAAAGATTCCATCTTACAATCAAATAAGAAAGAATCAAATGGCGTAAAGCTTGAAACTTTACCACTCAATTCACCTTCAAATAAGCAATCATCACCAATTAAAGAATGATCCTCAAAATGGAAAGCATGAATAATAGGAATCAATGGATCAAACTCAACAAAATCACATAAAGATGCAACCTTTATACTTTCCTCAACCTCAATCAATGCTTCTTCATAAGCAAATAGGTCATTCATACCATCAAAACAACTAGAATCACTATCTAGTATATCTCCACAATTCAAAGCATCATTAGAATCAATAAATGTGCCCAAACTAACAGTTGAAATATCACTATGCTCATCACAAGAAGAAAAAGTGTTAGGCTTAGCAATCATACCTTGATGCACTTCTAAAGATTCTATTTTACCTCCTTGAAGAATGGAAGAATCTTCACTTTGGGCTAGGGTGGCTTCGGTCACTTCACTTGGAGTTCTTACTTGAAGACTTCCACTTGAATTTTCCTTCTAAGGATCTATACAATAAGCCAAACAACTAGCAAGAAAAGCATTAGTCATGAAAGAATTATAAGAAGAATGCCCTTCACTTGAACTCTCTTGTTTTCTCTCTTCTTTCTTTTCAATCTTTTCCTTTCCTTCTTTCTTGGCTCTCTCACTCAATTCTTTCATATGCCTATAGTCTTCACTCACTTGAAATGGAGTCAAAGGAGTAAGGACTATTTTCTTGCCATTTTCCTCAAAAGAATATTTATTAGTCCTTCCATAATGGAGAGCATCCTTGTCATATTGCCATGGCCTCCCCAATAATAAATGACATGCTTGCATGGGCACCACATCACAAAGAATATTATCAGCATGCTTTCCAATTTTAAAACTCAACAACACTTATTCATTAAGCCATTGAAGTTTATAAGGACGAGTATGTCTTTGAGTCTTCAAGTTCAATTTGTCAACCATAGAAGCACTAGCAACATTAGTACAACTACCACCATCAATAATCAAAGAACACACTTGATCTTTAATCTTACACCTTCCATGGAACAAGTTCTCTATTTGGTTCATATCTTCCATTACTTGTGCACTCAACACTCTCCTAACAACATACAAAGGTAAATTAGGAGTGTCATATTCTACTTCATCATCACATTCGACCTCCTCTTCTTCACATAATTCTCTACTTTTTCCCCTTTCATAAGCTTCTTCCATAAGGATTATGGTTCTTCTATTAGGACATTCACTCATTTTATGACCATATCCTTGACATTTGTAGCACCTATTAGAGTTAGGATTTTGGAAATAAAGTTTAGAATTGTTACCTCCCTCCTTAACCTCCACCTTTGATTTGCCTTTGTCATTTTTCCACTTAGAGTCAACTATTGGCTTGTTTTCATTTGTAAGAGATTGTCAAGTTTTCTTGTTTTTGCTCCATAAAGTGTTGTAATTTTTGGATTTGCTCTCTTTGAGTTGCCTCTCTTCTTTGAGTTTATTTTCAACCTTGATATCTCCTTGGAGTACCTCATGTATAGTAACAAATTTGTGCAAAGTCATTTGGAGAGATTTCATGCTTAAGCCCCGCCAAAAATCTAGAAATCACGAGTCTTCCATTATCATCAAGATGGTCTCTAACCCTAGTGGTCTCCAACTCTTCAAAGTAAGCCTCCACATTCTTGTTTCCTTGCTTCATATTATAAAATTTGGTAAGCAAGTCATTCATATACTCTTCGGGCACAAATCTTGTTCTCATAACCACTCTAAGAAACCCCCAAAAGTCAATGACAATATCTTCATTTCTATTTCTATCCCGTTTCTCTTTCTCCCACCAAGAAAAAGCATAACCAACAAGTTTAGAAATAGAATGCTTGAACCTCTTTGTATCGGATACATTGTTAAGCTCAAACATCCTTTTCATTTGTATTTCCCATTCTAAAAATTTCTTGGGGTCACTACTTCCCTTGAAAGTATGAAGTTAAGTCTTGATGTTATTAAGACCCCGGTCCTCTTCTTCTTCCCACCTTCTACCATGTTCCTCATTACCAACATTTCTATCATAATCATAATCATAAGCATCATTCAAGTTTCTACCTTGAAAATTCCTACCATGCCTTCCACCTCTCCCTGTAAAGCTTCCTTACCCATTCCTTCTAGGTTGGACTCTAACCGGTTTATCATATTGCTCGTCATAGTCCAAATCATCATCAAAGTCATTTTACGGTTGTTGTGGCCTAAGAGGTTGTTGTTTATGCTCAACTCTTGCTTGTCTACCTTGTGGAAGTGGACCTTGTCTTGGTACTTGATTGTTATCAACTTGTGGTTGATTGATTAGCCTTGCAATGTGTGGTGTGGTAGGAGTAGAACTATTTTGTGGTGTTGCACTAGTTCCCACTCCTTGGTTAGGATTAGGTGACAAGCCTTACCATTGGTTAAGAAGGTTTTCATGAGACTTGACCATATGTTCCATGTTGTTAACTTTCATAATCAAAGCTTGTAAAGCCTTCAAAATGGTCTCATT